TGGGGCAAGTGGGGTAAGTGGGGCAAGTGTGTCACAAGTGGGTCAAGTGGGGCAAGTGGGGCAAGTGGGGCAGACCCATTAATCAAGGCATTGCGACCGCAGGTGGGGGGGGAAATTCACGCGGGTCGTCCCGCTCGCCCCACTTGCCCCCACTCGTCCCACTCGCCCCACTCGTGCCACCACTCGCTCCACTCGGTTCGGGGCAAGTGGGGCAAGTGGGTCAAGTGGGGCAAGTGTGTGAAGTTGGTCAAGTGGGGCAAGGGCAAGTATGTCAAGTGGGGCAAGTGGGTCAAGTGGGGCAAGTGGGGCAGACCCATGAATCCCCCCCAACGCCGACACTCTCAAACAAGGGTTGAAAAGCTACCCCAGCATCCTCCGAGAAAGCTTAAGATCCAGGCATGTTGTGCCATTGCTGTAGACTGCCAATTTTGCAGGAAGAACTCTTTCCAGAATATTGAAAGCAACGCTCTCTAGATCCTAGACAGGTGCAGCTGACACCCGTACTGTAGCAGTTTGATGCGAAGTTCCATCCCCACACCCTGCACTTCAGATTCGCGAGCTTTAGACGCAAGCCTTTTCACTTCAGAATTGGGGATTCTCAAACCTGAGTTCTGAGTTCTGAACTCGGTCCAGAGGCCATGGCACTGCTTGCAGATGCACCGCGCAAAGCCCTCGTGCCGAATGTTGTGTCGCAGAATGCGGTGCTTCTGGCATGCATTCGTCGAAGTTGTAGGATCAGTGGCACCAAGGGACCGCAAAGAATCTCATCTTGCAAGAGGTGCCCTGCAGAGATTGGATGGGTTTTGATGATGAAGGTGATGTGAGGACAGAATGGTGAAAGCTAGGCCTCTTCTATACCGCAGACCATCGAGCTTTGCTCAAAGCTGCTGAAGGAGACATCTTTTCGCATATGCTATGGCTCGTCTTGGAGGAAGCATGCTTGGTAGGGTTGAACCTCTAATTGCAAAGCAGAAGCCAGGCCACCTTCGGCGGCCCTAGCCTCAAAACTCAAATCTGATGTCCGTGATTGCAGCGAAGGCCCAAAGTTCTTGCGCCAGCCTCGCCTGGGCAAGGGCTCTTTTGCTCCAGGCCGGACCGGTGGGTGGTGAGGCGCTGCATGTGAATTGAAGAAGGAATGTGGATACATGGGGTTCGACAAGTGGTTTCCGCTGAGCTTAGCAGCTTGTGTTTTTCATGTCTGTCAGCAAGCTCAAGCTAAGCATTTGTCAGCTCACTGAAAGGCACCTACAAGCCACGACCTGATCAGTGTCAACACCGCCATGGATGCATGCGACAAGGCTTGCAATTGCGTTGCAACCCGACTGTGCGAGCAGATGCGACCACCGGATGATACATGTTCTGGAGTCTTTTGCAAGTATGCCCGCAGGCCGAGAAGCCAAACCCGACCAACAATCCAAGTCCCAAACATAGATCATCGCAGATCATGACATCATGCTCACCGGATCGAAGCTGATGCCAGGCCCGGAGGTGGGAGCGCACCATCGAAGGTCTTCAGCAGCTTGCTCTGGGAAATTTTGGCAAGATTACCTTCTGCTGGTCCTGAACAAGAGGCCCAGCAAGGACACGCAAGAGTTTTTCCTGACATTTTGGATGTAACAGCTGTCCCAGGGGAAGAGTGATAGTCAAAGCCAAGGTATGGCGCACATTTGCTAAAAGCAAACTGTCATCCTTGCTGAAAATGCAGAGTGCAGGTCGCAGACGTCCTGGCTATATCAAAACCACATCACTCGGACACCGGAGCATTGTGGTGTAAAAGATTGCTAGAGCGTCCTTGCGTGTGTCCTCAGCGTCGGGTGGCTGAGACGTTTCGCAGCCAAGACCGAGGAAGTCCATGGATGCACTCCTCAAGCCTGATGTCGCAATGCCCTCAGGTGGAAGGTTGAAGAGCAGTGGTTGGCTAGGTGTTTGGGTGAGTGCATAAAGGATGCTTGTGATGACAGAGCTTTGCATCCGACAATCCAAGTAAGTATGGATGGTAACGCAGTGGCCTCGCTGGACGGTGTGTCAGACCTTGAGACCAGCTTCAGTATCTGAATCCTGAGCCTTGCAATCCAGCTCCCAGATCTGACTGCCGCTGCCGTTGCACTCACTTTGCATTCGAGAGCTTAGTGTACCACAAGCCTTGTAGCATTTCACTCTCACTCATTCCAAAGCCCGGAAGGTCATGCTGGACAACCAACCGCATTCTAGAGTAAGTTATGCGTTGCGCATCAGCTTGTAAGCAACTGATGCACCAGCTGGCCGCCGTGAAAGGCAAGTTCATTCTAAAGCGTTCCGAACACCACTGCAGCTGAGACTGGCTCTTTCCCGATGGCCGGCGAAAGTTCTTGCTGTGCGGCCACATCTTCTTGAGCAACAGAGTGATCGACTTCGCCAAGTCTCACGAGGAGAGGGCCTGCACGGCCTCCTTCAACCACAACGATGACCCTATCATGATTTGAGCCGGCCCTGTTTTTCCAGGAATTTCCATTGTTGGAGTTTGCACGATGGTTTCCCATGGGAGTGTCGGGTCACTACTACGTTCTGACATGGCAAGCAGCTCCATCGTGTCTCTTCGGTTCAGGCAATAATTTGCACAGCTCAAAGATGAACCAGACAGGGTTTTCTCACGCGGGGCTACAGTACGTCAAAGTTAGGCCACAAATGCTTGTCAGCGGAGCATGCGTGCAATGCGTTCAAGGACATGGCTCATTCACAGAGCCTTCGCGAAGCGAGGCGCTTTGATAAGCAGCGACCTACGTTCTTTGCGTAAAAGCCTATGACTCATGACCCATTGCCCATGGCTGTGAGATCCTGTCAAAGCTATGCAATCAGGAGTATACACACGTGACTTCGAGTTCCAGAGCTAGCTCCAATGATGCTCGTGCTTGCAGCTTGCTGCGATGCCAGAACACGCTGCTTGCAGCATGGTTGCCTTGAAATTCCTCAGTCCGTTCATGCAGGCGTTTCAGCGGGTCAACACATTTCTTCCCTCTCTTGTGTCCCGCGTCGCTTGGCTCTTGCTGTGATGGCTCAGCGTCCATCCAATCTTGCCCTTGCTGGAGTGGCCGCAGGCAGGACGAATTGAAGAAGTCGTGGCAGCACATGTTGTCGGATTGAACAGCATGATCAGCGAAAGGACGTGACTACAGCACTGCATGCGTTACTTTGCCAAGTGTCTGTCTGGAAGCATGTGGCATGTTACAGAGGATTGTCAGGACTGTTGGCAGGCTCCAGTTGACGCAGGTGTTGGCGTGATGTAGCACGAACGATGCTTCACTGGGTAAGCAAACGCCAAATAGGGGACTCTAGAGCGTGATTGTTGTGAAGTTTTCAATCTTTCAATATGCTTTCAATCCCATGCGCACCCAATCCAAAGGTAATCTCAAAGCTCCTGGCAGATTTTTAAATGGAGGATTGCGGA